AGATCAGCACCTCCCCTCTGTGGTAGGATCCGACTTCTGCTCATCCAGAGTTGGAGTCACCGAGTTTGAAGAGTTCTAGATTTCCAACTCCTGATGGCTTGCAGGATCTGCTCTGAAATGGGACGTGAGCGGGGCTGCCTCTGCCCACTGCCCCCTGCCCCCTGCCCCTGCCGGCATTCAACAGGCCAGCAGCTTCCTTTGCAAGACGGGTGTGCGCAGATGAGCTTGGACCGTAGGGGGACTTGCACAGTGTTCAAGGGATTCCCTCCAAAAAATCAGAGACTCGGGTAAAGCTTGGGGATGGGAGAGCAGCAGCTGGACAGGGCAGAGTGTGTGAAAATGACCAAAATGTAAGGAAAAGTCACCACACTAATGAACCCACCGTCTGGTTTCACAAAATTAGCCCCACACCAGTAACCCCAACAAGTCAAACCCAGAGGTCAGACTAAAAATGCCAGGGCTGGACTTCCATGGGAGAAGTGATTAGAAACAATTAGGACGGTGCTCTCCACATGGCCTAAAGAATCCTCACTGTCGCAGGGGTGGGGGTGCCTGCGAAGAACCAGGGGACCTAGCGGCTGTTTGTGGATTAATAAAACGAGAAGAGCTTTTTAAACCAAATCTAACTATTCTTGTTGCAAATGAAAAGCGAAAACAATGAAGGAGGATTAGTACTTCTGGGTGTGGGAAATTAAATCCCCAACAAGTAAATATTTTGAAAGATCCCAAATAAAGATAATCCCGACTGAAAATCCAATGCAATCATCGCACAGAATAATAACCTTGATGACGTTTACTGGGGTAAATTAAATGACTACCCTTTAAAATACAATTAGATAAGGTGATACCATTCTAAGCTGTATCAGAGCAATCAAATTGAGACTCTTTCCAGAAAAAGATAATCAGAAAGCCCAGTCTCGCCAAATGAAAATTCTCACTGAGAACACAGTGCCCAATGCTATGACGCTCCTGCAGGTGCCGGGAAAGACGCCAGGGCTGGTCTCTCAGCCGTATCCGTGCTCTGCAGAATGCTATGCTTTTTAAAAGCTCCTCTTCTGAGGCTTCTCATTTACATTTCTGGTGGTCGGTACACATCTTTGCAGGTCAAAATCGGGGATCATCTCTGAAAAGCAGGCTGGGGGCTGACCAACCCTGGCCACATCGGCCGCAGGCCACAGCACGTGAGCGTCTCTTGGCCATTGCTTTTCCCACCTGCACATATTTCACAGGGAAAGTAATGTGAGCTCTGAGTCACCAGAGCTCATTTTGGTCCTCTATGCTGGCTTCAACCAACAGTAGTTTAAATTTTAGAGTTCAAATAAAGTTTGAAGTTAACATTAAAACTATTTCTATCCTTCCCCCAACTACCCAAAGGAAGCCCCAAATTCTCATACAATCTGAATAGGAAAAGAAAGGGCGCCCTTTTGTGAGGTCATAGAGGACAATGCACAATTCTCTCCCGCTACCGGGTGTCCAGGAGGTCTCATTTCAGGGTAGACAGGGCTCCTTGGTCTCGAACACGGAAAGCAGGGTTGAACTCAGGACCCTGAGCATGAGCTACACCCTCAGCCCTTTTCATATCGAGGGAGGGTCTCACTGAGTTGCCTAGTCTGACCTCAAACTTGCTATCCTCCTGCTGTAGCTTCCCGAGTGGCAGGGATTTCGGGTGTAATCCCACATGTGGCCGAACAGGAGTTTTAAACTGCTTTGTAATCCACCTGAGAGTTCCTGTGTTGCAGACGACGCCACTCCTGGCCACACTCAAGGTCAAAGAGCGGCTGGGAAGAAGGGAAGGGTGGAAAATGGAAAAGAAGACCAGACCAAGCTTCACAGGGCCAGAGAAAAACCCCTGCGTTACAGAAAGCCCTGCTCCTCATCTTCGCCTCCACGTCTCCCAACAGTAGTACTGGTGGTTTGAGGGTACTTCTGCCTTCCTTGCAGGTAATGTGGCCCTCAGGTGTTTGTCAGGCCCAGTCCTACCCCCGACTTCTCAGGCGGGTGACTCAGTATCGCCCAGGCTCTGGCGCCGCCCGCCCTGCAGAACCTGCAGCAGCAAGTGATACCCCGTGTGGGCTCCTCTTGCAGATGCAGCGCTCTGAACCAAAGGAAAACATCATGTGCCATTTTGAAAACCGTGTATGGACCCTCACAGGTCCTATCTGGGAAGCAAAAACATCACGGGGATTATTCTGAACGATGGAAACAAAAGCCCATTTACCACCTGACCTTGAACACCAATGCTTTGTGTTGTAGGCAAACATAAAAACTAGCGTTTTAAGCATCTTTCACAGCAGCTGGGTGCACTGAGTTCATTCACAGGGCTGTGCGACCATCGCCACCCATCATCACAGCTTCTTCACCTTCCCAACCTGAGCCTTTGTGCCTCACAAACACCGACTGCCCCTCACCACCTTTCAATAAGCTACCAAACTGAGGTGACGCCTCTTGAAAAGCTACCATGCACAGGTTTGACCAGGACACGGCCACTGTACATCTGTGACCCGATTCCTTCAGGAATCTATCCCAGCACAGTCAAAGAGCAGGCTACCTTGCCCCCGGCTCCAGGACCAGGTAACCAGCCGCCCCTAATCCTTGGCGACTCTGGTCCTGTGCTCCATCCACACTGGTCTTGTGGAGGAGGAGGAGAAGATAAAGTAGGTCAGTAAAGAAAGAACCCAGAGCCGAGTCTTCTGGCCATGGCCACTTCTTCTTTTGAGACAGAGTCTTGCTATGTTGCCCAGGCTGGCCTTGAAGGAAGAGGCTCACATGATACATGATCCCGTCTCAGCCTCTTGAGAAACTGGGACGACAGGTACATGTACCACGCTCACCTCCACCAGTTCTTGCTCCAAACCTGCACTTAATTCTTTCATCTCGGCTTATTTTTCTCATGGGGTAAGCTCCGCGGTTTCTACACAAATCGCCACACTAACTACACTTGCTGTGTTTGGAAGCGTACCTGGGTAACATAATGCAAGTATTCAGTAACTGATTTAAGAGTAGAGGTCAAAGGTCAGTGCACCTTTCACATTTAAGGCTGCATCACCTTGGGTTCATTCTTCCTAGACCTACAAGCTGTCACTACCACCAAGAATAACCTGACCATCCACTCCACAGCTCCAAGAACCGCCCACTGACTGGGCACACATTGCTGGCCACAAGTCCAAGGCAGCAGCTCGGGAGGCAAAGCAGGGTGTCTGCGACCGCACAGGGCAGCTAGAGTGGTGTCAGGAACAGAGAGCACGGTGAGCGTCAAGGACTTGGTGCTGGGTGGAATCCGTCCATCACCGAGGGACAGAAGCTGCGCGGTTGCACTGCGGTGAAGTAACTAGGTCACCAAGGCGGGCAGACAGGAAAAGGCAGGAACCCAAGGCTGGAGGAGCAGCAGGGGAATCAGTGTTGAATTTCACATGCAAGAGGATGAAGTTATGGAGATCTGCATCATAACACCGTCAATACCCTTCACTACTTAAATGCGCACGGAGACCTAGTTAAGTTGGGAAAATGGATGTTGGGTATAATTGTGCCTAAATTTTTTAAAGGTTTTCGTTTTCACTAGTACATGTTTGCAGTGCATAATAATTACACTCATCATGAGGAATTGGTACATGTATGTAACACATCTTAATTTTTCTTATGTTCCCTTCCTCACCCTTCACCACGACTTCTTAAAACACGAAAGTAAGTTTTAAAAAAGGGAAGCAACAAAAACCAATTCCATTAAAAGCTGTGTCCAGTGCTTTCAGGAACCCAGTTATGTTAAATGAAGTACATGGCTTGAATACTGTTCTCCTTTGTGTAGAATCTTGACAAGTGAACTCAGGGCTAAAAGGAAAGAAATTCTCATCTGAGAAGTAAGAAGGAAGACAGACCGAGTATCGGCAAGGCAGAAAACTGCTCACACCCGGATGTGGGCCTTAAACACTTCAGCAGTGCCTGCGCTTAGCTGAGAGAAATTCGTTTATTTGGTCCTTATTTTCATTCATTCTGGGCTGAAGCTGGTGCCACCCTCTGCCCCAGTTCCTGGGTTGACAGCTTAGCCTCCAGTGCAGTGGAACTGGGGGTTGATACCTTTGTAGACTAACTAGGTGCAGAGGATGGGGCACTGTCAAAGGGGATTAGTGCCTTTGTAGAAGAGACCTGCCTCGCCCTTTCTGCTCCGTCAGGACAAAACAAGAAGTCAGTCTTGTATGAAGCTGGGCTCTCACTGGACACAGAATTTGCAGCTACTTCTACCTTGCCCTTTCCAGCCTCTAGAACTGTGAAAAATAGGTCTCTACTGTTTATAAGCCGCCCTATGGTATGGTATGGCATCCTGACATCACAGCCTGTAACAGACTAAGAAATGAGGAAAGTTTAAGACTTTTAAGAGAGGGTTGGGGGTGGGGCTCAGAGATTGAGAGCTTGTCTAGCACGGAAGAGGCCCTGAATTCCATCTGCAGCACCACAAAGAAGGAAAGGAGAAGGAGGAGGAGGAAGAGGAGGAAGAGGAAGAGGAGGAGGAGGAAGAGCAGGAGGAGGAGAATTTTAAAAGAGCGATAAGGGAATCAACTGGCAAGTATCACTGCATCTGAACATGTTCTCATCTATTACTATCTGCACCCTATGTTTCTCATTCTGGAAAAAAGAAGCTGGGAAAGATACCCAGGAAAGATGCCAACAAACTACAGTGTTCTCGTGTCCCAGATTGGTTAGGACACTTGCTGTGTTGCTTGTGAGGCTGTATCACATCCATCACACCCACAGCATGGACAACCCACATGCCCTCTGCGATTCTGATTTTATCATCAAAAACAACTCAAGTTGTGTGTGTGTGCATGCATGTGTATGTGTGTGCGTGTGCATACGTACACACACGTGTATGTGCGTGCGTGTGCATGTGCTCACGTGCATGTGTATGCGTGCATGCATGTGTGTGTGCACACGCATGCACAGCACACTTGCCCTGCAGTGAAAGAAAGCAGAAGTGGATGTCAGGAAGCAGGGGGTCTTGTTCTCACCTGACCATAGTCTGTCCGGAAGACCACGACGCCCTCTGCGCAGGAGTTTACAGTACTCGGAAAATGCTGGCCATTTTCTCTCAGCCAGACCCGTGTTCCCTATAAACAGAAGAAACAATTTAATCATGACTTTGCATTTTATCTTGTGGCCAAACACCATTCTCAAAACTACCATGACTCTTCCACAGCCAAGTCATTTTGAAAAGCAAATGTCTTTCTCACACAAGGAAGGACTCTTTGGAAAGCGGCACCCGCAGCCTTTACTACCCTCTAGTGCGACAGAGGGAGAAAGCAAAGTGAGCACAAGGCTCTGTGAGCTACTGTGCTGGCCTGCACGACCTCACCTGACTCTTGCAAGCATCCTATGAGGCGGGTACTACTATCGCTTTCATTTTACAGAACGAGGAACAGAGACCTATAGGTAAAGCATCGCGCCCAAGACAGAGAAAACGATAAACCCAGGCAGCGGGGCTCCAGCAATCAAAAGGTAGCCAGGGCACTGGCATCTCCCCGTCTCTGACAGCGCTTTGGGCTCTGGTGGCGCCCATCTTCCCAGGGAAAGCCACACACACACTGGCCCGCTTAGAGGACCTGAGGCCACTCCCACGGTACCCTACATGCACCAAAATCTACATGCTCACTACTCCAGAACTCAGTCTGCTAGGAGGAAATCGTTAGGGTCACACCACACACCCAATACAGCATGATGCTTCGGACTGAGTCCCAGAAGACTGCGATTTCCACATCCTATTGTGTTATCCCTGGGCCTATTTTTTGGCACTGGTTCAATTTTTGTTTTTTATTCTCTCACTGGGTAACTGACCAGTGACTTAGGCAGGGACCTAGGTAGGCGTGGAATCAAACAAATCCAATTCCTAACCCTACGCTCTTTCCATACATCACACTAATTCTATTTGTCCCTTTGAAATAATATGTAAGCAAACCAAAAGCATTCATAAATCCAACAATAAAAATATAACGAAGAGGTCACTTTAAACGGTCCATTTTCACGCATCAACAGTTCGCTCTTGCTCATCTTTTTAAAAAGCAAAGTTTAAGAAGATATAAAACTTTCACCTAGGGGCTGGGGATTTAGCTCAGTGGCACAGCGCCTGCCCGGCAAGTGCAAGGTCATGAGTTCGATCCCCGGTACCGGGAAAAAACCAATAAATAAATAAATAAATAAATAAAACTTTCACCTAATGGTTCTTCCCTCAGAGTCAGTGATGACCTTGTCTAAAAATCCATCAGCCAGCACCTAAAACACTTTCTGTTCCCACGTTATGCGGGATCCCTAGGAAGTCAACCTTGAGTTGGATGAGAGCACTTGTGGCCGGCTAAGCAAGACTGCAGGGGCCCGGAGGGAGGGGACCATGGCCTCAGGCGGCTCTCCAAGCATTTCCAAGATCCAGGCATCTTGGGGCTGGGGATTTAGCTCAGCAGCAAAGCGCCTGCCTGGCAAGCGCAAGGTCGTGAGTTCGGTTCCCGGTACCGGAGAAAAACCAAAAAACAAAACAAAATAAAACAAAACAAGATCTAGGTATCTGGAGGCCCCAAGGCTGAAATGGAACAGACTCCTTTCCCCACTGACCAGTGACAGTCCGGCGACTTTCCCAACTCCCCAGTCACAACCCTACGAAAGACCCTCACCCAGAGCATTCAAAGCCATGGCTATAGGAGTGTTAAGTTGTTCACTCCCTCCCCACTTCTCCGACCATCGTCTCAAAGGGAGTTGGAGTCCTCCACTGCTAGGTGAAAAATAACATCTAAAAAGAAAACGAGCTGCTCCTACTGGAATCCCAAAGCTGCCTATCTAAAGAATACACAGGAACACCAGCAGAGCCAAGTTCCCATCTCCGCTTCAGTTAGTCACGTCCCTCTGACTCCGGCTCTGGGCTGAGCCGCCGGTAACGCATGGAAAGAGTGACACTCACAACTGCCTGTCAGTCCTGATTTCTTTACTCGAAAACAGCTGCTCCCAGAGAGCACTGACTTCCGGCATTCAAGGCTGTTCTCTCAAATTTCAGCCCGTACCCTAACCGCTCTATTTGTAATGCCCCAGCAAAAGCTTCCAAGCGCCTGAACGCCTCACCCAGTTTTTAATTGACTTGCAAAGACTGACAGTTGAAAGTTTCAAAATACTTCCAAACGCACACACGTACACGGTAGGAAATTTCCAAAGCCAGGTAAGCTGAGACTTTCGACTTGCTAGATGAAAATCAAGAGACAACAATTCACCGTGGATCTCCTTCCCAGAGACTAAGTCCACAGCTTTCTGTGTGCTAGGACCATCACCTCTGTCGTCTGCATCAGAAACATTTCACACAGCTGTTTCCCAGTTTGTGAACACTATCCATTAGGAGAATGAAATGAAAACCTCACGACACAATATCACCAAGTTAGCAGAAATCGTCACCAGGATTCAGATAAGCCTCCCACCTGCTCGAGACCACACAGAACACACTCTGCAGCAAGCAGTTGCTCTGCCTTCCTCACACCCTTGTGTGGTCCTTTTACCTTCCCTTTCAAAAGCACTGCACAGCCCTCTGTTGACACAGTGCTCGCTGATAAAACACCAGGCTCAGTTTCTGGGTTCAAAGGTCTTTTTCAAAAGGTGTGAAGAGCTGCTGATAAGCCAGTTTTACAAGATTCCCAATCTGCGGCCAGGTGGCCAGTTCCCCTCAGTCTATAATAAACAGTTGTCTTCCGAAAGGAAGATGGTAAACGCATTCAAAACACTCATTTTATTCTTTGACAAAGTATAAACTCGCAATCTTCACAGAATCGGGATTGCCAAGTAAAACCTCTGAAATGAATTTCGCAGATTGCTCTCGGCGGTTTCTCCGAGCCCCCGAACCTCCCACTTCCATTCCATGAGAACAGAACATATATGCCCAAGTCCAAAAGAGGTCACCACAGACATCTGAAAATGAAGTTCAAGCAGAAATGTACCAGACCATTCGTGTCAGAGTGGGGAAGAAAAGTTTGCCTACCATATGCAAACTATTACCATCTGTCATTGTTCAATAAGGCTGATAATTTAATATATAATACAGGCAACCTAACGTAAGGAGAAAGCACACAATTTGAGTAAAAATTACCCTTATAAGTGAGTGGAACATGTTCAGTCCTAGCATGCATGTTTTATTAAAACTTGGACAAGTTTTTGTCTTAATCTTTGAGACTCATACTGGGAGTGTTAACTAAAGACTTTTCTGCACATAATCACCAGTAACATTTTTGCAATATGAAGCACTTGCACATAAATTCTCATCTCCTTTGTTTGATCTTTAGAGCCATCCTGTAATACCATCCCTTTCTTCAAAAGTGAGGTTCATGGAGGTTCCATTTTCTTTTGCCAACAAGTGATTTCCTGGCTATAATAAAGAAGACTGACTCTCTCAAACATTGGTGAGGATGTAGAGAAACTGATGGGAATATAAATGGTACACCCACCTTGGAAAACTGTTTAGTCATTTCTCAAAAAGCTAAAAATAACCTTACCACCTGTCCTAATAATTCAACTACTACATACTTAACCTCCTTAAGAGAAAAGGAGTCTTAAAGTCTTCTACACAAGTATTTACAGTAGCATCATTTATAATGGCCAATTACTACAAGTAATTCAAATGTCTATCAACTAGTACAGGGATAAACAAAATATGATAAATCCACACAGTGGCACTCCTCAGTATTAATTTTAAAAAATACTGTATTAGCTTTCTCATATTAGCTTAAAGGAAGAGAAATGAAAATTTGGCTTCTAGTTTCAGAGGTTCAGTCCATGGGCACCTGGCTCCAAGACAGACTCATCATGGTGGAAGGGCTGATGAAGCAAAGCTGCTCACTTCATGGCGGCTGGGAAGCAGAGCACAGCAGGAGAGGGTCTCAGAGTCACACACCCTCCAAAGGCAGCCCCAGTGAGCCTCTTCCAATGAGGCCCAACCTCCCTACAGCACCTTCAGCTATGGGTATCAGTGGACTAATCAACGAATGTATAAGCACACCCACAATTCAACCACCTTGCCAAGAGTCTATTCATCCAGCAAACTGACAATTATGATTCACTGACACAGATGTGTCCAACATATTCTCCAGCAAGGATCATCCTCAAAAACTTTACAGTAAATGAATAAAGCGAAACACAAAAGACTGCATATGGTAGTTTCCAGTTAGTCAAGTTTTTAGAAAAGGTCACTCTATAGACACAGAAAGCAGATAAACAGTTGCCCAGAAAGCTAGATATAGGAGAGCCACTGCCAGATTTGGGTGAGAAGGAGCTTCTGAGAGTGATGAAACTACAGGATTATGGTGATGTACTGGAAGTCAGTCAATAGTGCCCCTATGTGGATAATTTCAAATCATTTAAACTTTAAAGAAAATAGATTTACTTCTCAGTGTTACATGAATATTCTTAGCCATCCCATAGTAGGAAAAAACAACCCTGTTTCTATAACTGAGCAACGGAGGAGTCAAGAAACATAAAAAAATCCACAATGACAGAACCATGTTCAATGCTCTACTCTCCACTAACACAGACTGGGGTGGCTAGGAAACTAAGCCCTAATCTAAGGATGAGACTGCAGTAGACTCCATCACTGGCTGTGCTCAGTGACTAGCCATGTCCCATGGGAAAAGGATGATTAAATTCCCAGTGAAGTGACTCATGTCTGGCAGTGCCCACACTACCCCAGTCAAGGAGCTTCACGGGCACCCAAGCTGCCTACCATTCCCTACTGCACAGGGTGTGGCTTCCTCCATGCCCACAGGAAAGTGAAGTCATGCACAAGACCTAACGTATTGACCTCCTGGTTCTCTACACACACTGTTCCCGAGCCCTGCTTTAAGGTAATGAGGATAATATCACCATCACAGACTTCAACCTACTTACTCTTGCCCTTTTATAAACTAGTCCGTTTCTCTTGATTTGAAAAATAATTCTTGGGGCTGGGGATTTAGCTCAGCGGCACAGCGCCTGCCTGGCAAGCATGAGGTCATGAGTTCAATTTCCCATACCGGGGAAAAAAAAAAGACAGAAAAATAATAGTTTAAAGTTATGGTAGAGCAATAACTCAAAAAAGAGGTGATGGCATGCCTTAAATGCAGTGTTATG